CATTCTGAGTGCCTTCCCACCTTCTGCTCCTGTATCTGACAGTGTTTCTCTGCTATTCATAGAGTTTTCAATGACTAGCGATTCGGAAGTAGTTTATCACTCTTTCTTCCTAGTCTGTCTTTGTTTGGAAGCTCATATGAAACCTGTCCACCATGGGTGACCCTGCTGGTTATTTAAAATACCGGTGGCATAGTCCTCATAGTCACAGCAATTCAAACCACCACAGCATGACAGACAGACGAGTGGAGGTTGTGTGGTCGCTGTTAAACACGAATCTCCTTGCACTACGGCCCTTAAGTCCAGCTCAAAGGTGGGATTTCTGTCCTCGGTTGTTGTGTCAGTCAAGAGGCGGAAGTGCAGCAGGGGTGACAGTGTTGTAATGAAATGCTTTGGGCTGCGCTTGTGGGTCTCTAAGTTGGTTGACCCCGCCTCAAAGCCATGATCAATGAACTAGATTATGCAGCTAATAATCACACTGTTTTTGATTCATCCTATACGCTTTCCTCCCCTCTTCCTTGGTGTAAATTTCTTGAGTTTCACTGTTCACTAGTATATAAAACAGGGAAGCCAGAGAAATGAAGCCCAGGAGAGAACAAATATCTAAAAACAGTTATTTCTCTAAAGGGGATCAAACTTTAGAGCCTGGATTGTCAGCAACTCCACATCTATTACTCTATATGTTGTTGTTATGTGCCATTGAGTCGGTTCCGACCCCAAATTGGCTATAAACAATAGTAAAGTAAGCTTCTAATATGAAAATCAGAAAGGAAACCCAAACATCATAAGGGTATGTTTTCTTTGTGGGGGGTAAAAATACAACTAAAAAGTTCTACTAACATCTTGCTTCTTAAATTGTAAGCTGTGTGCTGTGCTTTAAATCCTAAATGTTTCCCAGTGTAAAGTCATGCTGTACTTGCTTTGGCAAAATCAAGTCTCTCATAGAAGGAAACAACAATATTTGGGTGTAGGACTTAGGAAAATCAAATCTCTGGCCTCCTCTTTGCTATCTGCTGCTAGGATTGCTAGGATTGGGCAGTTGTTTTAATTAAGTGTGTCCTGTCTCCCCGCTTGCCTCTGTTTCTCCTGGGGATAATAAGAGGAAACCAAACCAAACCATGAGGATCAGTGCATGCTTGATTCAGGCTCTCTGCACTTTCTTTTCCTGATGTGTAGAATGTAATGAACCTGATAGCTTAATTGAAAGTTAAAAATTGTGACAAAACCAGTCATATAATTTGGCCACGCATTCATCGTGTTGTTAAGCGATGTCAAGACGGTTCCAACTTGTAGTGACCCTGTATAGGGTTTCCATGGGTTTGAACTGCCGATCTTATGGTTTGTAGTTCAGTATTGGTCCTATAGCGCTACACTCTTAGTCCTTGTATAATATTCTACCAGACTGCCCAAGCTTCTTTACGTTTCTCTTGTGCATTGGTTTGTGACTAGGAAAATGAGCCAGAGACACTAAGTAACTTTCACTGGGGCTGAAGAGTATGTTAGATCAATATGCAAGTCCTAACAATGTTTATAGCAGATGTCCCAAGAGCCAGTCAGAGTTATTATGTTATGTACCTAACTCCATGCCAGTAATTAAATTTTTCAGAAGCTCCAAACTCCCTCCTGAATAAAAAATGCCTCCCCTTGTTGAGGCAGTGAAAAATATTATTTTTAAAATATTTCCAGATATCCAGTGAGACCAAGTGGAATTTTAACAAACTTTCTGAAATTACTGGATAGAAACAAGCAGGAAAGTCTCTACTATAAAAGGAAAGTATTTCAAAATGTCAAAAGTCCTAGAAGAAAAATAGGTACAGTCCTTCAACAATAACTGTACAGTCACCATTAGAATATTCCGATTGACACTTGCAGAAATTACACTAATAGCCACATTTAGGTAAGCAGGTTTCATAAATGGTCTAATAAGCTGGTGAATACATGAGTTCTTAATTTAAACCTTTGAAGATTTTGCTCTATGTCTTAATAGTTTATAAGTAATATGAGTTTAATTCTGCGTCAACAAATTCCTAATTGTCAAACAAATTCAAATAAAGACAAAGAAGTTTCACAACAAGATATTTGTTCTTTAGCTATTATTATCAGTGTCGTTCCTTCTTCATCTTTATGAATACAAAATTTTAAAACTATTTTAAATTCAACATTTTAGTTTTTAAAAGATCACTTTTTATTTTTATAAAGTGTGGAGATGCTTTCATATATTATTATCTCAATCAGCTCATTGAGCTCAAATAACTTAATTAGCTCAATAGTTTAATTGCAAGTTTAGAGATGGGCAAAGCATAGCACAGACAGAAATCAGTTTATTTGCCCAGAGTCAGAGCCACTTGTGGAGAAACCAGGAGCTGCATCAGGTTGCCTGAGTCAGGCAACATGGGGGAGTTGAAGATGTGAATTTGGGTCAAACTAGACAAGCTCTGAAGTTTGGTGATGTGTTAGTTAAGGGCCCAGCTGCTAACCAGAACATTGGGAGTTCATAGTCTCCAGAGAAAGATGTGGCAGTTGGCTTCCAAAAAGATTAACCAAACCAAATCTAATGCCATGGTGACCCTGTAGGAAAGGGTAGACCTGCCCCAATAAGGTTTCCAATGCTGTAATCTTTATGGAAGAAGACTGCGACAGTATTCTCCCATAGAACAGTTTGTAGTTTCAAACCCTGACCTCTCAGTAGCCAAGCACTTTCTCTCTGTGCCACCACGGCTTCCTTCTATAAAGATTGGAAACTATGGGGCAGTTCTATTCTGCCCTCTAGGGGCACGATGAGTCAACCACAATGGGTTTGTGTACTCAAGTCCTATAAATTTCATTTTGTTTATCCAACAATGAGATAATACTTCACATATCCAAAAAATTTGTTGAGGGTAAAATCAGACAAACGTACAAAAGCACTTTGGACACTATAAAATAGCACATAATTGTAAATTATTATTGTGACTCATGCTAATTCCTTTTTTTTTTTTGGAGTCCTGGTGTGGCATTGTAGGACAAGCACTTCACCACAAGGAATAGGAAGGCCTGCAGTTCAAACTCACCAAGAGCCACTCCTTGAAAACTCTATACAGGGTTGCTATGAATCAAAACAGAACTGACTTGATGGCACTTAACAACACTTTTTTTTTTTTTTACTTAGTATTTCTTTCTTTAAAAACAATTTTTTTTTAAATTTTAAAAAATTGCCATCTTAATTGATTGCTGGTTTTCACTAAATAGACACTTCTTAAAAGTACCATTCATCATTTTATTTCAAGGCATATACTTATTTAAAAATACAATATTCTGTTCATGCTGTTAGCCTTTTTGACACTTCCTTAAGAGCTCACAGTTTATAAGCGATTCTTTAGCATTTTCTACTTGAAAGATGTGAAGTGGGCAAAACTCATTCAGTAATATTCAAGCTTGAATCCACTTCTGAAAGTAAAACCCAGGCTATGGTGTTACAATGTTAAGAAAGGAGGAACAGGATCTCGCAGGAAATAAAACATGAGCAGAACTTTGAATAGGAATTAGTGAACTTCTAGGTCAGATAATTTGGAAAGTCACTTAACTTCTCAATTTTAAATCCTCATTCATAAAATGGATTTAGGATACAGTAATACCCTATATGACAGGGACAAATAATTGTTCACAAATTTTCATGCACCAATTACCCCTTCTTAAATGTGAGTTGTCTGTGGGGGAGACAATTTCTAGTCAGGATTGGTGTTTCTCACATCTGTATCCAAATAGGATCTTGAGGAAATTTCCTAGCAATGAAATAGGTGCTGAGGCTTTGTGGGTCACTTCTGAATCAAAGCTTTTTTAAAAAAAAAATAAAAAGAGTGCCTACTCCCCTCTTTTCCTCTGCTTCTTGGCTGGATCCAGAGAGCACCCAAACTCTAGGCAGTACCACAGGCAGAAGGACCCCTGAATCACTCCATGGAGAAGAACTGCCCACTGACCAGGTGTACCTGCACTGGAGCATTTTGTGAGTGAAAATAAACTTCTACTCCTGGTGGGGTGTTGTAGGATCAGCACTGAACTGCAGACCACAAAATCAGCAGTTCAAACACAACAGCTGTTTCTCAGAAACCTTACACAGGGATGCTAAGAGTCAGAATTGACTCGATGCACTTAAGAAAAACAATGCCAAGCTACTCTAAAATTGGAAATCTGAGTTACTTTAGCAATCAGCTTTACCCTGAGTGATACCCTCTATTTACAGAGCTATTATGAGAAATGATACATTTATTTTCATTAAAAAATTTAAAAGAAGGAAATAAATAAGGGAGAGAGAAAATAAAAGTGAAGGAGAGAGAAAGAGAAACAAGGAAGACAGGCAGGAAGGAAGAGAAAGTACAAGTTACCTTTATCACAATTGACTCCATAGAATCCAGGTGGGCAGATGCAGAAACCAGGAGTAACACAAAGTCCTCCGTTCATACACCGTGGTGTACAAAGGGCTGGTAGGGAAAGAGAACCCTGATTAATGCCAAATAAGGTTTGCATTGGGAGCATTTTGGAAATGTCACTAATAGAACCGGTTTACATTTTCAAGCCTTCAAAAGTCTCTTTTTAGATCCAAGTTTTTATATTAAATCAGATTTTTTTTAATGTATACCTGTCAATTTTTCATAATCTAGAATTTTTATATTACTCCATTTGAATGCCTGATTAACTTTTGTCTAGAGTCATTATTTTGACTAAGATTTTTGGTTCCTTAAAACTACAAATATTTTCTCTTTTCCGTTTACTGCCTCCAGCCCTCACACCCCACCTTGATCTTCCAATTAGAGGCAAATAAAATAAATAAATAAAGACAAATAAGAAGATATTCTTCTTTAAGATGAAAATGTTTTACTTTCTCTGGCCATATAAGCTCTTTGTATGTAAGTATTTGACGACCAATGCTCATCTTTTGTTTATCTTTTTTTTCACAGAATTCAGTTAAAAGAATTCCCCTGAAATGGATGCACTTACTATACAAATGCTTTCCACCCTTTCCTTTGCCGTGTAACTTCATAACTCATTTTAGACTTAATAACTGTGACGCAAACTGCTTTTTATTGGGAAGATAATTTCAAACCACTGGTAATTCTAGCTTTTTAAAAGTTAGTGTTTAACTTTAGTTATTAAAGCTTTTGGCTCCAAATGAAAGGAAGCATAAAACCTCAAAACTTTAATAAGATTATACCAAAGTACAATGTGTATATAGTGAATTTGGGGGCAGAGGACAGAGACCCTGAAGAGTACAGATACTGAACCAAAGTTCCCTGCCCTGTCACCCCATATTGGGTTTAACAGAAAACCACTTCTGGGCCTTTAAAAAATGTCACCAGCCATTATAATGGGAATAGAAATGTAATCTCAGGGAACATGTTTAAAATCCATCTAGAGGCTCTATTTAGCTAGCTCCTGTGTCATTCCCATGCTGTTTAAGGATGAACCCAAGGAAGCTGGAGCTCTGTACTTTACCTTTCTCACAGTGAGGTCCGTAGAATCCATCAGGACACTCACAGATGCGTCTTTCATTACAAAAGCCTCCATTCCGACATCCTCCTGGGCATTCAGCTTCATCAAAGACAAACAAGATTTATAAAGATATTCTTTGAGTCTTATTGGATAAATTACAGCAAATGTGAAGATTTCATTCTTTCTCCAGTGCACCACTTACATAATTTATTTAACACAGATACCTCTACTGGTCTCTGTTGAACACTTATTTCATCGACAGCACTTAGCAACAACAAATAGTACTTGTCACTTTGAGGACTAAAGTGCATTTGGCCCCAACCATGGTATTTTCAGTCACTTCAAATGCATGCAAAAGCTGGACAGTGACTAAGGAAAATCGAAGAATTGGTGCCTTTGAGTTATGGTGTTGGCAAAGAATACTGAATATACCATGAACTGCCAGAAGAATGAACAAATCTGTCTTGAAAGAAGTACACCCAGAATGCTTTTTGAAAGTAAGAATGGAAAAGTTTTGTCTCACATACTTTGGATACATTATCAGTCTCTAGCACAAGACATCATGCTTGGTAAAGCAGAGGATCACCAAAAAAGAGTAAGGCCCTCAATGAGATGGACTGAAACCATGGCTACAACAATAAGCTCTCAAGACTAGCAATAATTGTGAGCCTGGTGCAGGACTGTGTAGTGTTTCATTTTACTGTACATAGGGCCACTAGTACAGGGTCACTATGGGTCAGAACAGACTTGACGGCACTTAACAACAACAACAACAAGGGCCACTAGAGTCGGAACTGCTCAACAGCACCTAACAACAGCAACAACATACTGCTTATAAGGAGCCCTGGTGCTACCATGCTTAAGTGCTTGGCTGATAAATGAAAGAGCAACAAACAGTTTAAACCCACCAGTCACTCTGGTATTGTGAAAGGCTGTTTCTGTAAAGATTTACAGTCTTGGAACCCCCATGGAGTAGTTCTACTGTGCCTTATAGGGCTGGGATCCACTCAATGGCAATGACTTATTGTTTGAGAGTTGTACTCCACTAAATTCAGCAGTTTGAAACTACCAGCTGTTCCACGGGAGAAAGATGGGGCGTTCTGCTCCCGTAAAGATTTACAGCCTCAGAAACCCTGTACAGGGTCGCTATGAGTCGGAACCGACTCCACGGCACACAGCCACAACAAATATTCAAAGTAAGATTTTGCCTCCCTCAGTCCAACATCTAACAGTATGGGGCCCATTTAAGAAGTCGAAGCATATTTTATTCTGCTTACCCCAATCTAGCAATATATGAAACCTTCTTTAACTCACACTGTAACTGAATGGTATTAACATCAATACTCATTTACAGACAGTGGGATGAATTCTTGGTACATCTCTAGAGCACTGAAAGGCTCCAGGGCTTCAATTCTGTGCTGGAGAAGCTTTTATGGGGACGGGAAAGGAGCCAGGCATTCATGTTTAAATGGCATCTGAGGCCTAATGGTGAGGGGTTGGTGCCATTGTCAAACAGGACCAGTGGCATGATGGCGTCATCCAGTTATCCATGGAGTCAGCAGCACCAGGCTTTTGGCAGTGGGTATTAATGTACCCCCTTTGGAAGGTGGCAGTTGAAGAGTGGCTGGTGAATTTGAACTGCCGACCTTGTGGTTCAAACCTTCCAGTTAGTTCAGTACGTTATCCTACAGTGCCACACCAGGACTCTAAGCTATCCCTGGAGACTCTCAAAAATGGTGTTGGGGAAGGATAAGAACAGAAGAGAGGCCAACTTAGAAGGGTTTATTAGAGTTCTAAAAAGCACAAGTGGGGGTAAAGTAAGAAAGTTGTTGTCATACTTTTACCAAACCCTTTGTTCACCACCCCCTTTTCTCATTGGTGTGGTTACAATTATTCAAAATATACATGCATATGAATATAAATTATATGCAATATATAGATGCCAACCCATCTATGGGTTGGGGATTAGAAGAAATGAACTAAGCAGAAAAATAGGAGTGCATTGATGCAATTGGTAGAAACTCTGAACTAAAAACCAGTGTTCTAGGTAGCAATAGAGAATCAAACCATGGTCCTTAACCTTCTGCTCTTTCTGTTGTTACACCCAGCACCTCTGGTTCTCTGGTACACACCTCTCTGGTCTTTCCAGTTCATTCATTTATGACAAATGTGTATTGATGTCCACCATGTGTAGTGCACAGTTCTAGGTCTTGGATGAGCAATAAATAAAGACACAATCTCAGTCCTCACTGAGCTTATGAGATGTTTTCATAGAGAGGATGTTAATTGAATGCATGTGCAATTAATATCTGCTTTATCCCCAATCCTAATGTAGTGCTATAGGATAAGCACTGGACTGTAAAGTAGGTTTGAACCACAAGGTCAGTGGTTCAAACTCACCAGTCACTCCTTGGAAACTCTATACAGGGTCGCTATGAGTTGGAACTGACTCCATGGCACTTAACAATAACGTGCAAATATATTCATGTTAGGTGGATTACAGCCAACATGAAATTGTAAATACCATATAGAACCAGACTGCACAGTTCCAGGTATATATTAGGTACATAACAGATGTTTACTGAAAGAACTAACTTTTAGATTGGTTGCTTCCTGGTGATATATAAAGAAACTTTAATTGGTATATTTTCTTTGTAGGATACTGATTTCTAAAACTAGAAAAGCTAATCTCATCCACACTATGTGGTGTATCCATGTCCAGGGGCAATCCTTCCTCTAAGATTTAGAAGTTCCACTTCCCATTTTCTCATGTTTAGCAAAGCTGTGAAAAAGACTGGTTGGTTGTACCTTTGCAAATGTATGTCTGGGTGGTGGGAAAATAAAAATGAAGAACTGATGGTACATGCAATGTTATAAACGAGGATCCAACATCCTGTATGAGTGTCTCTAATCTCAATATACTTGGTGGGATGTGTATTGTTATCATAATCTAGAAATATCAACTCAGAGATTATTTGGCAGCTCTGACACTGACATCTCTCTACTTTCTCCCCATTGTTGTTGTTAGGTGCTGTCCAGTCAGTTCCGATTCATAGCAACATTATGCACAACAGGACAAAATACTGCCAGTCCTGCACCATCCTCACAATTGTTAAATTTGAGCCCATTGTTGCAGCTGCTGTGTCAATCCACCTTGTTGGGGAGAATTCCTCTTTCTTACTGACCCTCTATTTTTATAAGTATGATGTCTTCTCCAAGGAGTTGGTGCCTCCTGATAATAAGTCCAAAGTATTAGAAATTAAGTCTGGCCATCCTGTTTTCCAAGGAGCATTCTGCTTGTACTTCTTTCAACACAGATTTGTTTGTTCTTCTGGCATTCCATGGTACTGTCAATATTCTTTGTCAACACCATAAATGAAATGCATTACTTCTTAAAAAGTCTTCCTTATCCATTGTGCAACTTTCATATGAGGTCATTGAAAATACTGTGACCTGGGGTAGGCACACTTTAGTCCTCAACCTGACATCTTTGATCTTGAACACTTTAAAGAGGTCTTTTGCAGATTTGCTTAGTGCAGTCCAATGTTTGGTTTTTGACTGCTGCTTCCATGAGCATTGATTGTAGATTCACACAAAATGAAGTTTTTGACAACTTCAATCTTTCCCCCCATTTATCATGATGCTTTTTATTGGTCCAGTTTTGAGGATTTTTGCTTTCTTTACATTGAGATGCAAACCATACTGAGGACTGTAGTCTTTGATCTTTATCAGTATTTCCAGTCTTCTTCACTTCCAGAAAACAAGGTTGCATCATCTGCATATCGCAGGTTATTAATGACTCTTCCTCTAATCCTGATGCCTATTGCAGGTTGTTTATGACTCCTTCTCTAATCCTGAGGCCACATGCTTTCTAATACAATCCAACTTCTTAGATTATTTGCTCAGCACACAGATTGAATAAGTATGGTGCAAGAAACACCTCTGATGCAACCTTTTCTGATTCTAAACCATTCAGAATCTCCTTGTTCTGTTCAAATGACTGCCTCTTGGTCTATGTACAGATTCCTCATGAGCACAATTAATGGCTCTAGAATGCCCATTCTTTGCAAGGTTATCCATAATTTGTCATGATCCACACTGACGAAAGCCTTTGCACAGGTAAACATCTTTCTGGTATTCTTTCAGCCAAGATCCATCTGAAGTTAGCAATGATATCTCTCATTCCATATTCTCTTATTAATCCAGCTTGAATGTCTGGCAGCTTACTGTCAATGTACTACTGCAATCATTTATTTTTATTTTTATTATCTTCAGCAAAATTATACTTGCATGTGATATTAATGATATTGTTTGATCATTTCTGCATACCGTCAGGTCACCTTTCTTTGGAATGGGCATGAATATGGATCTCTTCCAGTCAGTTGACCAGGAAACTGTCTTCCAAATTTCTTGACACCTGGAGCCTTGTTTTTCACCGATGCCTTCAGTGCTGCTTGGACTCCCTCCTTTAATACCATTAGCTCTTGAATTTTTCTTCAGTTCTTTTAACTTGAAAGAATGTTGAGAGTGTTCTTCCCTTTTGGACTTCTAACTCCAGGTCTTTGCACATTTCATCATAATATTTGACTTTGTCTTCTTGAGCAGCCCTTTGAAATTTTCTGTTCAGTTCTTTTACCTCATCATTTCTTCCATTCGTTTTAGCTTCTTTATGCTCAAAGGCAAGTTTCAGAGTCTCTTCTGGAATCCACTTTGGTCTTTTCTTTTTTCCCCCTGTGTTTCTAATGACCTTTCGCTTTCTTCATGGATGATATCCTTGATGCCATCCCACAAATCTTCTAGTCTTTGGCCATTAGTGTCTGATGCATCAATTCTGTTCTTGAGATTGTCTCTAAATTCAGGGCGGATATATTCAATGCCATATTTTGGCTCTCATGGACTATCTTAATTTCTTCAGTTTCAGCTTGAACTTGCATTGAAGTTATTGATGGTCGGTTCCAAAGTTGACCCTGGCCTTGTCTGGGATGATAATATTGAGCTTCTCCATGGTCTCTTTCCACAGTTGCAGTCAATTTGGTTCCTACATAGTCCATCTGGTAAGGTCCAGGCCTATACTCATCTTTTATGTTGCTAAAAAAGGAATTTGCAATGAATAAGTCATTGGTCTTGAAAACTTCTATCAGCTGGTCTCCAGCCTCATTTCTGTCACCAATGCCATTATTTTCCAACTACTGATCCGTCCTTTTGTTTCCAACTTTCACAATCCAATCACCAGTAATTATTGGTGCATCTTGATTGCCTGTTTGATCAATTTCACACTGAAGAAGTTGGCAGAATTCTTCATTTTCATCATAAATGGTATTTGTGATTCATGAATACATTTGAATAATAGTGGTATTAATTGGTCTTCCTTGGTGGTGTATGGATATTATCCTTCCACAGATATCTTTGCACTTCAAGATAGATCCTGAAACATTATTTTTGATGATAAATGTGTTGCCATTTCTCTTCAATTATATCTGACAGTGTTCTGTTGACATTCATAAGGTTTTCAGTGGCTATACATTCAGAAGTTGTGTGCCTCTCCTTCCTAGTCTGCCTTAGCCTGGAAGATCCACTGAAACCTGTCCATCATGGATGACCTTATTGGTATTTAAAATACCGGTAGTATAGCCTCCAGCATCACAGAAACACACAAGTGTCACCACAAAACAACAAAATGACAAATGAATGAAGGTTTCTCCTTCCAAAATATGTATTTTATACAAAAGATCCTATAAAATGGGCCTTATGTGTGAACCAAGAGTTGTGCCTATGACTCTATCTCTGTGTCTACATGTCTGAGAAACAGATCCTTCTAGTTCTATAGCACTTAGATCAGAATTATATTTGGATCAGGCTTTGTGGGGAGGCTGGAGGTAATAAATGAGAACTGCCTTCATGCCTGCATATACATACTGAACTCTATTATATTTGTCACACTGCATAAAGTGAAGTGCTTCCCAGCAATATCCAGACTAATGTACATGCAAATGTCTCCTTCAGCTGTGTGTTTAAGGCCTGTTGACTTTCCAGGAGACCTACCTTGATCCTCACTCAGATTTCATCATGTGTCACTGTATGTTTACTGGTGAGGATCTTAAGAGTGAAAATGTGTATCTCTCCATGTCCTGGGGAATACTGCTGATCTCCCAACTGTGCTTCCTAATTGAGTTGACTGCCTTCTTTATCCTTCAGGTCAGTTATACCTTACTTGATTCACACTGGAAGTCCTTGAGCGGTACAAATGGTTAGTTAACACTCTTGGCTGCTAACCAAAGGTTGAAGGATCAAGTCCACCCAGAGGTTCCTCCAAAGAAAAGCGTGGCAGTCTACTCCCAAAAACCAACTTGGAGAGCACAGTTCTATTTTGACACACATGGGTCACCATGAGTTGGAATCCACCCAGTAGTAATTGGTTACTGGTAGATCCACTCTAGAGGTGCCTTTGTTTGGCCTTTTCCATCTGTTTTGAATCTACTATTAACATTTGCCAACACTAATGCTCATGCAAGCTGTTAATGACTCTAGTAACATGACTCCTTTTAGTTACTACCATATTATTTCCATGCCTTCATGAATATGATGCAATCCCAAGAGTTTTAATTTTCTGGGTGTTTGAAGAACTCTAATCTTAGTTCATTTCTGTCTTTTTTGTGGGGAGAGATAGGGAGGAAGGGAAAGAGAGGGGAATGCTTTGTTATAGTCATTTACTTTATTAGCTACAGATTCAAATTTTAAATTCTTTTCAGAATAGTACTATTTGTATTATTTTAATGAGTCAGGACACCAAAAGGGAACTTCTATGCCTTTGAATTTTTATTGGATGACAGGAAGCAGTATAATTTAATAGCCAAGAGTCTATGCTTTGGGGTTGGGTTGGCCTGGTTCAAGCTCAGCTTCCCCACTTCCTAGCTGTCTGACCTACGGCAGGCTATTTCACCTCATCTGTAAACTGAATTTATAAATAGTAGTGTGTAATTTATAGGATTGCTGAAAGAGTTCATGAGATAATGCATGTAAAGAATGATTAACGTTGTCTAACATAAAGTTAATGTTCAATTACTGTTAACTATTATTAAGTCTTCAGGAGTCATAGTTCTGACTAAGAATCAGCATTTCATTTAGTGAAAGTTGACAGAAAGGACTGAAAAAGGTTATTCAAGAAAAATGTCTTCAGTTCATACTATGCATCAATCACTGTTCTAGGAGAACGTTACCTAAAAAGCAATAAACAAGAAGGGTGAAAGCATGCCATTTCTCTTCATTGATTGATTTCATAGATTGCAGGTAATAAACACATACACACAAATTAGGGAAAATATAAGTAGGTGATTATAGTTGCCTGAGCTATCTTAAAAGTAAAGCCAACATATGAGATACAGAACATCCAAGTTCACCTTTGCCCAAATGACACCTGTCAGTCTCTTGAGCCTTCTCTTGAACCCCCATCAATGATTACCTTGTTGACATGTTTTAAAGAAGATTGCATTTTGAGGAGTTTGGAGGATGGTGTTGCCTTCAGAGTTCATTACAATCACATTCACTTCAAAAGCTGCCACACCATCTTGTTTTCCAAGACATGGGAAACCCACTTGAACAACTTTAAAAAAAAAGAAAGAAAGTATAGAGAATTAGTTTATCTTTTTTATTCTAGTTTTACACAAATCTTGGAAAGAGAATTAAAGAAAACAGCATAAAGTATTCATGTTTCATCATTGGGCATTCCTTGGTCTCCACTGGAATAAAGGCTGTGTTTTGATTGTCTGGGTATTCTTCAAAAAAACCTCATACATCATGCTGAACAGAGAAAGAATGAATGGCTTTCATTAATTTGTAATCCATTACAGTGTAGTGAATTATCTGTCTTTTCTAGGGTCTGAGTAAGAGAAGGTGGGGGGAAATGCTGATGGATTATGTGATTCAGTTGTGAGTGATTGTTAACACGGTTAATTGTAAAAGCATGGAGTGCTAATGTATATAAAATGAGCCATCTCAGAAGCAGGAAGTGGAGTGGGGTGAATCCGATCAGAGATCACTACCATCAAGAAGAGAGAGGAGTGGAGTGTATTCTTTGGAGCCTGTTGTTGTTGTTAAGTATCATCCAGTTGGTTCTGACTCACAGCAAACCTGTATAGAGTTTCCGAGGAGCAGCTGGTGAGTTTGAACTGCTGTCCTTGTGGTTCAAACCGACCTTATGGTTGAGTGTTTATCCTACAGTGCTTGCTCCACCAGAACTCTGAGATCCCTGCATATTGAACCTCCTCAACCCAGGGACAGAAAACTGTGACACCAGAGAAGTAGTAGAAGAGAAGTAGCAGCAAAACCAAGAGCCAGAGCATGAGTCAGAGGGATGGGCTTCCCAGAGCTGGCTTGTTTGTAGAGTGGGTGCCTTCTTGCACTTACATGGGGGAGTTAGATTTGCTTATTCTACAGTGCCACACTAGGACTCCAATTCCTCATTTGCGAGTTTATTTTCATTCTGTGAGCTTGAATGCAACAAAACATCTTCTTTAAAAATATTCTATAATTCAGACTAGATTTTAGTCATTGAACTGAGTTAAGCAAAGTTTTCCCAGTCGTTCATTGATATGAAAAATTATTCACATCTTGGGGATTTAGAAAAGAGTTCCATATGATGAATAAATCTCATGTGTACGCTTATAACTAATAGTTTAGTTTCTTAAAGGCCCTTGAGTGACACAGACAGTTTATGTTCAACTACTAATATAAAGTCTGACAGGTCAAATCCAACCAGGTCAATTCCAGAAGTACCATGGAAGATAGCCTGACAATCTGCTTCTGTGAGGATTGTTATTGTACCGTGGAGTCGATTCCAACTCATAGCGACCCTGTACAGGCTTTCTGAGGCTGTAAATCTTTATGGGAACAGAAAGCCTCATCTTTCTCCTGCAGAACAGCTGGTAGTTTTGAACTACTGACCCTGAGCAGCCTGATTCATAACCACCACGCTACCAAAGCTCCTTTCTGTGAAGATTACAGCGAAGGAAACCAAATGGAGAAGTTCTATTCTGCAGCACTTGGAATCTCCATGAGTTAGAACTCACTTGATGGCAATGGGCTTTTTGTGGTGGTTAGGTGCTTACAGAGGAGTCACTTTGTTCTCTTAAGCCTTGTGATCACTTGTGTATTTAGATGTCGGCAATGAAGCCATTAAACAGAGAGCAGGAATGAATGGCATGGCTGCATAGAGAGAGTAAGGGGGCTACCAAGTGAGAAATATCCACAAGTGGTTGGGTGCATTGGAGCAAAGCAGATGTGACTGGCTAAGAGAATAATTATGTAAGTTGACATGATCCTCTGGCTTATTATAACTGGGAAATACTGATCTAGCAGATGCATTAGGACTCTAGTTCTTCCTCACAAGTAAAACAAATGTTGTTAGTAGGTTTGTTGTTGTTGTTATATGCCATGGAGTTGGTTCAGACTCATAGCGACCCTGTACAGGGTTTCCGAAGCTATAAATCTTTACGGGAGCAGAAAGCCTCATCTTTCTCCTGGGAAACAGCTGGTACTTTCAAACTGCTGACCGTGAGATTAGCAGCCCGATTTGTAACCACTATACTACCAGAGCTCCTTTGTTAGTAGGTTGTTGTTGTTGTTGTTATGTTAGTAGGTACACAGGTGAAATTTTGCTCTACTTTACTTTTGTATGGCAGCCTATGGGAGCACAGTGTCTCAGGTATAACTACCAGACTGCAAACAACAACATCGGTGATTCAAGCCCACCAACCACTCCAAGGGAGAAAGATGAGATTTTCTGCTCCTGCAAGGATTTAGAGCCTCAAAAGTCCCATACAGGTTCGCCGTGAGTCAGAATCAACTTGACAGCACTTAACAATAACAAACAACAACATAACAGGTCATGATTAATGCCAAGTTTGAGCAAATCAAATCAAGCTAAGACAAACCCTTTCCTTTTAGGTTTTTCATCAACTCTTTTCCATTGTAAAAAGAAGTGAACTATCTGTGTGTCTGAGCTTTTCTCTAAGCACTGCATACAAGCCAGTTATACAATCTTAATATGTTTGACAACTAAAAACCCTTCCTGGGGCTTTGGCAATGCCAGTTGTGGTTGTGCCAATCCCAAATTAACAATGATTTCCAGTTCCCCTGACTCTTGAGATTTAAGTAATGTAAATTATTTATTAAATGATAAAAAGAAAATGGGTATATTTTTACGGGGCGGGGGGCGGGAGAGTGAGAAACAGAGACAACCAATATTGTGCCTGAAGTCCCAACATTACATTGTCACCATTGAAAACGTTGGTTTAAGGAAAGCCTATATGGTGTGATGCTGTAGAATAAGCACTGGACTGCTAACTGCAAGGTCAGAGGTTCAAACTCACCAGCCATTCCTCAGAAATCCTATACAGGGTAGCTATGAGTTGGACCAACTTGATGGCACTAAACACAAAAGCAACACATATGAAAAAGAGTCCTGGCGTGACACTGTAGGATTAACACAGAATCACAAAGATGGTTTGAACCACAAGGTCAATGGTTCAGACTCACCAGCTGCTCCTCAAATACCCTGTATAGAAATGCTATGAGTTGGTATTTAACAACAAAAACAATATATGAATAAGGAAAGCCATGGCACCATAGGATAAGCATTGGACTGTGAACCACAAAGTCAGCTATTGAGCTCACTGACCACTCTGCAAGAGACAGATGAGGCTTTCTGCTCCCACAAAGATTTAAAGCCTCAGAACCCCTATACAGCCTATGAGTCGGAATTGACTAGGCAACACACAACAACATATATGAAAATGTCAATTGACAAAACAAAATATGTTGTTAGAGCATATATATTTTTTAAACTGTTAGCTCTTCGGTACCCTACACAGAGAAGCAGTGATGCCTGAGATGGACGCAGAGATGATGACGTGGAGAGATGGAGCAGCTGGGGACTTTAGATCCAGAGAGGGAGAGGGGCTGTGTACTGATGACAGAGGGGCAGGCTTGTAGGATATACCCTTTGGTTGGTTGATGAAGCATGAAGGGGATTGTAACCATGGCAATGAAACAATATACGGTAGGATGAATGTAAAGCTAATGTTCTCCCATATAAACTATCACATAATTCACAATAAAACATTAAAAAAAAACCCAAAAAAACGTTAGCTCTTCCAGTGCATCTACACATGGATCAATTATAAAATTCCATTCATTCTTTTTATGAGTCTTTTTTTGATGATGGGTGTTTTGGGTTTTTCTGCTACTTACATGCCATCATGTTGGCTCTGACTCATAGCGACTCTGTATAGGTTTTCAAGGTGTGGTTGGTGGATTTGAACTGCCAACCTTGGAGTTAGCAGTCCAGTACTTCTCCACACCAAGGCCAATAATTGTTGAGGCATAAAAAGTGGGAGAACGTAAATGGATACTTAACAATAGAACTTTTAGAACCTTCCTCACTACATGCCATCATTCCAGCTGTACCACTTTCTAGGTGTATCTTTCTCCTGGTCCTTATGCAGTATCTACTTTGAATACTTATCCTTTTATAAAGGCCTTCAGTTTTATATTAGCTTTCAGAAATTTGGTATGGAAGAGATGATGCTTGCAAGGAAACTTCTCTTTATTTCTTTTTATCAACATTGTGAATTTCAAAGCATGTTGTCAATGTTAAATATAAAAAAATGTTTCATCATATATGCTGGAAATTTGGTTATGAACAATTAAATTATTGGTTCACACCCATCTCCAGACATGCTGAAAGCAATCCGTTTACAAATCTGGTAATATGATGACTATGTATCACATGTTCCTGGTGTGGCACTGTGGGTTAATGCACTGAACTGCAAAGCTGGCTTGAACCAAAAGGACAGTGGTTCAAGCTCACCAGCCACTCCTTGGAAACCCTATGGGTCAGAACCAACTCTACAACACTTAACAACAACAACACAATCACATGTTCTAGTCATCAGTGGGTGCTGTTTGAGGATTTGGAGTGCCGCAAGCTTATATAAAAGGGTGTGATTTTCTAACATGACCTCTGAGCCAATGAAAGTAAAGATGTGCTCAGAGTCCCCTGGTCTTGTAGTGATGTGAAAAAGAATGGCTTCAAACAACTCAAAGGTAAAAAAGCAAAGATGTAAAATCCAATAGAACGTTCAACAAGGCAGACATATTACAAGTAATTTTCTTTAGTGTTTTTAAAGTGAAACTTTACCTTTAAATACAAATTTGAGTCCAAATATAGAGTTGATTCATTCCACAAGTATTTATTGGGTGCTTCCTACGTGCCAGTCACTATTCCAAGCACTGAGAATACTTTAGTAAACACAACAAATAAACTCCCCTGCTCTTGTGGAGATTTCGTTTAAGTCATTTGTTTGGAAAACATTTTAAGACAGTGAATGACATATTTTAATCATTTTTAAAGTCTAGAAAAATAAAGATTGACAAAAATTGACAATTTAAATTAAAGTTGAAAGTTGTTGCAGTGTCTGCTTCCGATTTGGACTTTGATAATCCATCTCCCTCCAATTTGCCTACGTTTTGATTCAAAACAGGAACATTAGTGTCCCAGGAGTCTAATATTTTAAACAAGGATCAGGTAGAGAATTATACTTG